CAAGGGTTTTGAACCTTTTATTTTATTTTATTTTTTTTTTTTGTTTTGTTTTTTTTTTGTCACAGACCTGTTGTCATAGTTGAAATGACGTTTATTGTAGATGGTATTTGAACAACTTCTGGAAATAGTTCATCAAGTATGTTTGTTGCTCATTGTTGTGATACATTAAAAACTGTATCTGCAAACCACTTTGCTCTCTTACCCTATTCTTTGGATATTTTTTTTAGCGCTGTGTACTTTTAGTTGACATTTCACGTGCACATTTATATATATATATATATATATATAATGTGTGTGTGTGCAGCATTTATTTGGAACGACATTGCCATGGATGGATAGCTTCCTGTTATAATCGAGTTGAGTACTTGCTTTAGGCTTGGTTGCAAAATTGAAGCGTCTGCTTCAAAGGGAACAACCAGCTTCCCCATTAACAGCAGTGACACGGCTGTGCCGGAAAGCTTTTCTGTCTGATGTCTGTTCATTTCATGTCGTTGAGTAATATACCAGTATGTCATCAAAATATACCGTGTATTATTTTTCAACTCTGGACTTTGGTCAAAATTGAGCTGCTTCCTGCCGTGGATGTTAAATTTAATTGTGTATATTATTTTAGATTGATGAGTATAAGAGTAATGAACACATTTTAATCTTTAGAGCTAATCACTTTGATAACCATGACAATGTTGTCAGCCAGGAATGATGGTAGCAAGACGTTTATGGTTTTGTTTGCAGTCGCAAAATTATGCTGGAAACCCTGAAAGCGCTCACCCCTTGTGTTCCTGCACCCCTCTTGACTAGGCGCTGGTCATGCCGTCGAGTGTGCGGGCCGGGAGCCTGAAGGACCCGGAGGTGGCTGAGCTCTTCTGCAGGGAGGATCCTGAGAAGCTCTTCACCGACCTGAGGGAGATTGGACATGGGAGCTTCGGAGCTGTGTACTTTGTGAGTTGTGTTTCTCTGTATTTCTACGAGCACTGGTGGAAACGTAGCCGGGATTTTAGTTGCCAAGGCTAAATTATTGGATGTTAAAGATGACTTCAGGTTTGTGTAATCATCCTTGTCGTTATTAGGCCCATGACATCCGCACTAATGAGGTGGTGGCCATCAAGAAGATGTCTTACAGTGGCAAGCAGTCCAATGAGGTAACAGTCACGGTCATCAGCAACTTGCAAATTTCTACCATGCCGGCTCATTTCGCACTCTGGGTGTGTTGTAGAAATGGCAAGATATCATCAAGGAAGTGAAGTTCCTCCAGAAACTGCGGCACCCCAACACGGTCGAGTACCATGGCTGCTACCTGAGGGAGCACACGGCATGGGTAAGCGCTGTGAAATGCGTGTGTGACGAACACTCCCACCACCTGTCAGTCTACGTCGTCATTCAAAAGTGCAGCTGGAAAATCTCTAGCGGGGACAAGTGGTGTGAATTGTGCTCTTTGTGAGCCAAAAATAGCATTGTGCACTCACAACACTGACTGTGTCCCTGCCAGCTGGTGATGGAGTACTGCTTGGGCTCGGCTTCGGACCTTTTGGAAGGTGAGAAGGAAAGAACCGTTTTGTCATCTGTGTGATGCAAATGGTGACTAAACCATGGTCTGCCTTTTGTCATCTTAATACTCAAAGCTTGATATCTTGTGTCATCTCTTCACATAGTCCACAAGAAGCCCCTCCAGGAAGTGGAAATAGCTGCAATTACCCATGGTGCACTGCAGGGACTGGTCTATCTTCACTCTCACAACATGATTCACAGGTAGGCCGCTTTGTCAACCTGGCTGCGTCTGCACTGGATTCTTGGCATGTCAGCCAATCTTTTCCTTTCTGTCGTCGTCATCGCCGTGATGCTGAGCTGTCGGTTTTCTCTTATTGTTCCACTCAGGGATGTGAAAGCAGGAAACATCTTGCTCACAGAGCCCGGTCAAGTCAAACTGGGAGACTTTGGTTCTGCGTCCATTGTCGCTCCGGCCAACTCTTTTGTAGGAACACCTTACTGAGGATTTTAGTTGCCAAGGCTAAATTATTGGATGTTAAAGATGACTTCAGGTTTGTGTAATCATCCTTGTCGTTATTAGGCCCATGACATCCGCACTAATGAGGTGGTGGCCATCAAGAAGATGTCTTACAGTGGCAAGCAGTCCAATGAGGTAACAGTCACGGTCATCAGCAACTTGCAAATTTCTACCATGCCGGCTCATTTCGCACTCTGGGTGTGTTGTAGAAATGGCAAGATATCATCAAGGAAGTGAAGTTCCTCCAGAAACTGCGGCACCCCAACACGGTCGAGTACCATGGCTGCTACCTGAGGGAGCACACGGCATGGGTAAGCGCTGTGAAATGCGTGTGTGACGAACACTCCCACCACCTGTCAGTCTACGTCGTCATTCAAAAGTGCAGCTGGAAAATCTCTAGCGGGGACAAGTGGTGTGAATTGTGCTCTTTGTGAGCCAAAAATAGCATTGTGCACTCACAACACTGACTGTGTCCCTGCCAGCTGGTGATGGAGTACTGCTTGGGCTCGGCTTCGGACCTTTTGGAAGGTGAGAAGGAAAGAACCGTTTTGTCATCTGTGTGATGCAAATGGTGACTAAACCATGGTCTGCCTTTTGTCATCTTAATACTCAAAGCTTGATATCTTGTGTCATCTCTTCACATAGTCCACAAGAAGCCCCTCCAGGAAGTGGAAATAGCTGCAATTACCCATGGTGCACTGCAGGGACTGGTCTATCTTCACTCTCACAACATGATTCACAGGTAGGCCGCTTTGTCAACCTGGCTGCGTCTGCACTGGATTCTTGGCATGTCAGCCAATCTTTTCCTTTCTGTCGTCGTCATCGCCGTGATGCTGAGCTGTCGGTTTTCTCTTATTGTTCCACTCAGGGATGTGAAAGCAGGAAACATCTTGCTCACAGAGCCCGGTCAAGTCAAACTGGGAGACTTTGGTTCTGCGTCCATTGTCGCTCCGGCCAACTCTTTTGTAGGAACACCTTACTGGTAGGACAGCTTGGATCGTGGGTGGCCTTTTTGTGCTCCGTGAAGGGCGCGTTCACACTGTGTGAAGTCTGCAAAGCAGGAAGTGGTCACATGTTTGTTTTGTCTCCTTCACGCAGGATGGCACCCGAGGTGATCCTGGCCATGGATGAGGGTCAGTACGACGGAAAGGTGGATGTGTGGTCACTTGGCATTACCTGCATAGAGCTGGGTAAGAGGTGGACGCTCTTTGGTCATAAAGTGTGTTGACCCACGATGGTTTTGTTTGTGTTTTTTGCACCACGATGCATCTTCGTCTCACTATGTTGCGCTTTGTTCCCGTTTAGCGGAACGGAAGCCTCCTCTCTTTAACATGAATGCTATGAGTGCCTTATACCACATCGCACAGAATGAGAGCCCCGTGTTGCAGTCGAATCACTGGTGAGAAACAGACACCCCCCCCCCCCACACACACACACACACACACGTATCCTTTACTTGGCGACAGCTAAAATAATCAATACTAGAAACAACACTTTCTCCTCCTTGTGAAAAAAAGAAAGACAGGCCACAACTTTCAGTAGTGCATTTTGTCGCATGTCCAGATAAATGATCATGTTTGCGTTGTCTTTTAGGTCAGATTACTTCCGCAATTTTGTGGACTCGTGCTTGCAGAAGATTGCCCAGGACAGACCTACCTCCGATGTGCTGCTCAAGGTGCACATCCACACGAAGCTCAGACAGCTACCACAGTGTGTGTGCTCTTCTAACATCTGCGTTTTCTTGAAACTCCTTTCTCCTCTCCAGCATCATTTCCTATGCAGAGAGCGTCCCATGACCAGCGTGATGGACCTCATTGCACGCACCAAGGACGCTGTCCGCGAGCTGGACAACCTTCAGTACCGGAAGATGAAGAAAATCCTTTTCCACGAGGCACACAATGGACCCGCACCTGAAGGGGCTGATGAGGAAGAGGTAAGGGTGGGAATCTTTTGCAGCGAGCACACGACAGTGCGAGGTGTCACGGTCAATGAAACAAGCTCAGTGCTGCCCGACATGTTGGAGCACAACGTGGCCACCCTAAATTTGAACTCTTGCTCTACAGTCTAAAGTGGAACAAAAGCATCTGCATCTGAGAACTGCGTTTTTTTTTTTTTTTTTGGCCCATCCTGCCTTTGTAGCTGAGCCCTCAATGTACACTTCCCTTCCATACAAAAAGGCTTTGTTGCCATCACTTTTCACACCGGTTGGCTCCTCATCAAAAGGAAATAATGGAATTCGGGGAATGTCGGGGTGCACTATTTTCATCATATTTTAGGCTGATTTCAAAGTCCAAGGTATAAAGATTCTTAATGCCCATCGACCTTCATTCATGAAAAAAAGCAGCCATCTTTCAAATGTTTTACTTGATCAACACTTGCTAACTGAAATGATTTGACTGCATCTTTTCAGGATGTGGAGCAGTACATGCTGCGCACGGGCACAGTCAACAGCATGGAAAGCTCCCACTCGCTACCGTCCATGTCCATCAGCGCCAGCTCCCAAAGCAGCTCGGTCAACAGCCTGGCCGACGGCTCGGACGACAGCGGCGAGATGGCCATGATGCAGGAGGGCGAGCACACCGTCACCTCCAACAGCTCCATCCTGCACAAGCCCCTGGTCAGTCCCATCCCCGTTTACTCTTGCCATGCAATATTTCTGTCATGCCTCCCATTATGAGTCCCACTTATGAGGCTGACTGGACTCGTTGCGTAGCCTTGCGCCACCTCCAGGAAAAGGTAAGTCACTGCGACACATGCTCATTGCTCGTGGTTGTTCGACATACCGAATAACAATCACCTTGCGTCAATATGCATGCAGGATGGGCCACAAGTGTATGTCCACCTTAAATGAACTTGTTCATTAAAAAAGAAAAAAAAGGTAAAAAATGACAAATAATTTGATGTCCAGATGAAAGAAATAAGGATCCATGAATAAAAAGGGTGCCTGAGGACAAGGATGGCAGGAAAGAGGGCAGAAAGGAAGGAAAAGTAGGTAGAAAGGCAGAAAAGCAACTTTCAGCAAATGACGGATGGATGTAAGGATGCAAGAATAAAGAGCTCCCCTGAGAGAAGGATGGAAGGAAGGCAGGCGGTCAGAAAGGAAAGAGACTGTAAATGTAACATCATCAATGAAGTATATATTCAAAACTTTTGGTCCACCCTGGATAATGCCACTCCTGCCCTGCAATAGATTTCGATTGAAGCAGAATTGAACCTGTCCACCGTTGTCTCCCTTTTCAGAGCCACGACAACATCTATGATGACCCCTACCAGCCGGAGGTGGACTTGCAACGAGATGCGTCATCTGTCAGTGGAGGTGGGGCCGGGGGAGGTGGAGGTGGTGGAGGAGGCGGGAGGCGCCGTCGAGGCCGTGATCATTTCGCCACTATCCGGACTGCCTCGCTCGTCACCCGCCAGATCCAAGAACATGAGCAGGGGTCGGCGCTGAGAGAGCAGATGTCTGGGTAAAGCGACATTTTGGCTCCCATTGTGAGGTTGAGCGAAAAGGGAGCTCTCGACCATCTCTTGAGTTGCTGGTCTTTCGGTCCGTGCAGGTACAAGCGTATGCGTCGGCAGCACCAGAAACAGTTGATGGGTCTTGAAAACAAACTAAAAGCGGAAATGGACGAACACCAGTTGAGACTGGACAAGGAACTGGAGAACCAGAGGAACAGCTTCTCTATGGAGGGTGAAAAGTTGTGCAAGAAGCACTCTGCCATCATGGACAAGGAGGTGAGGCATTTCGTTACAGATGTGGTATTTTTGATCAATGCTCCGGAAGTGAGAGGATGCTCGCTTGTACGTCCTTTGGCAAACCCCCAAAATGCTAATTGGAACACCCCCCCCAACCCCCATTAAAAATGTTTCTAATTGCCTATATGTAACCGTAAAAATGTTTGGCTCTAGGATAATTTGATACTGAATAAAATACACCGGATGTGAATTTGAGAAGTATCTATCCTTTGTCTCCCCAGACTAAGGCGGTCCTGACCGAGGAGAAGAAGTTCCAGCAACACATACTCGGCCAGCAAAAGAAGGAGTTGACGAGTCTGCTGGAGTCGCAGAAACGACAGTATCGACAGCGCAAAGAACAACTCAAAGAGGTGTCTTTAGCATCTTTCATCTGCATCCCATCGAACCTTTGGTGCAATCCCAAAAGTTTTTGTCAAGTCAGCGCGAATCAAGCTTTTTCAGTCCATCAGAAGTCCACATTCATCTTTGCATACTCTTGTCGCTCAAGGAGCTGAACGAGAACCAGTCGACGCCAAAGCGGGAGAAGCAAGAGTGGCTGGTGCACCAGAAGGAATGTCTGCAGCAGCTCCAGGCGGAGGAAGAGTCGGGCCTGCTGAGGAGGCAGAGGCAGTACTATGAGCTCCAGAGCCGCCAGTACAAGAGAAAGATGCTGCTGGCACGCCACAACCTGGAGCAGGATCTCCTCCGAGAGGTAACCCGGAGTGAGCTTGAAGAGAAGTTGCATTCACAAACGGCTGGATGTTCTCTGTGTTTGTCCTTCTCCGCCAGGAGCTGAACAAGAAGCAGACGCTGAAGGACCTGGAGTGCGCCATGCTGCTGCGCCACCACGAGTCCACACAGGAGCTTGAGTTCCGCCAGCTGAGCCTGGTGCAGCGCACCCGCGCCGAGCTGATCCGCACCCAGCACCAGACGGAGCTCACCAACCAGATGGAGTACAACAAGCGGCGCGAGCAGGAGCTGCGCCAGAAGCACGCCGTGGAGGTCCGACAGCAGCCCAAGAGCCTCAAAGTGAGTGATAACCAGACCACAATGGGCCCAGGAGAAGAGACCCGGTTAGAAAAGTTAGAGATGAGTGAGGAGGATGACCGAGACACCAAATATGTACGTGATGATGATAATGATGATGATGATGACATGAAGCCGTACAGAAGAGAGTGCTGGGAGATAGGAGGAGTTCAGACAACAGAGAACCTAAGTAGGGATCGCGACGGGTTGGAGTTAGGAGACTTAGATGTGACCAAAGAGATACTGGGCAAAGCGAATAACCAGGGCACCAAATATATAGACCATGACGATGATGATGATGATCTGAAGCCAAAAAGAGAAGAAGGATGGGAGGAGGCGAGGGAAGTGGAAGGGCTTCGGTGGGAAGCCGAGCAAAATGGCGGAGAATTTAGAGAGGAGGATGAACATTCGAGCGGGGGCGCCATATATGCGCTGGATGATGACATGACGTCAAACAGCCGTGAAAACGAGGAAAATCGTCCAGAATTTAGAGGCGAGGAGGAAGTTTTGACCAAGGATGTAGACCATGAGCATGACGTGAAACTGAATCGCAGAGGTTCTGATGAGCACGAGGGATGGGAAGAGGCGAGGGAGGTTGAAGGAGTTCAGTGGGAAAACAAGGAGGAGGAAGGCAGAGGCGTTGCTGACGGCTGCCCATCCGAGCTCATCGCCTCCCTGTCCCAAGAAAAGAGACGCACCCGCGAGCCGGACGACTTGTCCGAGTTCTACTTCCCCGATGTTCCCGAGGAGCTGGACGCCATCCCCAGCGTCCTTCCCCCGCCTCCTCCCCCGTCCTCCTTCCCGTGGCTCTTCTCTCACTCGGTGTGCCTCCTCCTCTCGCTGTGGGCTGCCGCCCGGCCCTGCAACCTCACGCTGCTCCTGCTGTGCGTCTTTCTTTTGTCTCTGCGCCGCTCGCCCCCGCCGCCCTCTCTCGGGTCTCTCCTCCTTTCCGCCGAGCTGGCCCTCCTGGCCCATTTCTTCTCCTACCTCCTTCTGCGCTCCTGCTTCTCGCTCTCCTTCTCCTCCTATCTGTCGCTCAGCCTGTGGGCCAGCGGCCTCATGAGTTTGGGGCTGTCCCTCAGCTTGGGGATGTACTACATCCCCATGATTTTGGTGTCCGCGTCCTTCCTGAGCTCACCCTCTCTCTTCCTGTCGCTCTACCTGCTGGTGGTACTGGTGGTGCGGCCGGCCCGCCGCTTCCTCCAGCGCGCCCCCCGCAGAGTCAACCGGCTCTGCATGCGTGTCCTTTTCCGCCTGCCGCGGCCGCTCTTCGCCGTGTGCCAGTCGCTTCTCGGCGGCGTGGCCGAGCGCAGCCTCTACGAGATGTTTCCCAAAGCGGGGCGCAACTGGGGGGTGCGGCGCTCCAAAATCCCCGTCCCCCTCAAGAGCCTCCCAATAAATCAGCAGGCTCGCAGCGGGCGGCCTTCCCGTCTGGCGCGGGCCCTCCTCTGGGTGAAGCACTTTGTCCGGCGCCCGCTGGGGGTCCTCGCCGACGTGGCGAATTCACTCGTGCTCAATCTGGCTGGGATGTTGGTCCAAAAGCTTCCAGTCAGCGTTGATCGTTGGTTGAGGTATGCTGGGCTTTTGAAGAAGTGGCGGCCCAGTCGGCTGCCCCTACTTCTGCCCCGCGAGGTGAGGGAAGCCAGGCTGAGGGAAAGAGTGAGGCGGGAGAGGGAGAGGCGGCGCAGGGAGGAGAGGGAGCGGGTGCTCCGTGATGACACCCGCTGGGAGTGCGCTCTGAGGAGAACGTCCTCGGGAAGGTTTGTCAGGGGGAAGGTGCGGCCCTGGAGATGAGAGTAGAAAGAAAGTTGGAGGTTGTATTATAAAAAAAAGAACAAACAGAAATAATATATTTAGGCTTAAAAAAAAGAATGAACTGTAAAAACAGGCCCAAAGGAAAAGAAAGTTGGAGGTTGTATTATAAAAAAAGAACAAACATAAATAATATATTTAGGCTTAAAAAAAAAAGAATGAACTGTAAAAACAGGCCCAAAGGAGTAAATTTGATTTGAATGTTTAAATGGTCAGGTTTACGTGAGCTGGAAGTTTTAGGAAGAACCAGAAGTAAAGCTACATTCGTGTCTCAGTCCAGACTCATATATTAAGAACAGAATATTGTAATCATCTGAAAAGATCTAGTACATTTTTTTCCCCGTTTTTGATAGCTTTAAATACCAAAGTATCGGAGCCTTTTACATATTGTGATTTTCGATTCCCTTTTGAAAATTGAAAGAAGAAATGCTTGCTGGATTGTCAGGTTCTGCGTGCGCCGCTCCTAGCCGCTCACTTTTTAGCTGCTGCGCTGCAGCCTCCATCACACAGTGACCTTCCCAAGCCCCGATCGAGCTTTAAACCTTTCGTTATTTTGCTTTTTGTAAAAGTTCCTTACATTTACAGTATGTTTTGTTCTTAATTTGTAAGACAATTTGAAGTTTTTATGACCATGTCTGTGCAATCTTTTTTTTTTTTTTTTTTAATTTAGTTATGTAGGTGTTTTTACTTTATATTTGGAACAAATATGATGACGGTATTAAATGCGGACTACCAATTTCTCGGTGAATAACAACGTGCAATAATCGTCAGAGTCAAATCTAGCGTGCAGCATAATTATCCAGATGTCAGATAATATTTGAGTCCAATATCAATTTTTATTGCTCTTTATGCAATAATCATGTTAGGTTTTACCATGTAAACAGTTCGTCTTTTTTTAATAGGCACGTAAAGCCGTTGAGTGCCTTTGAATAAATATTTGCACAAATGCCTTAAAATATTGTTTGAAGAGACTTTTAAGTGAAGAGTGGAAAGTCTTACCATAATATTTTCCAACTATAGTGGAAGTTTTTATTTCTATGAAGCGACACAAGCGATTTAAACACAGAAGATTGCATCCAAAAGACCTGAATGATTCCCGAGTGAGAAATTAGATGAAGTCAAAGTGAAAGTGCTTTTGTTTCATTTCATGCGAAGTCATACCAAACGTCCATTAAGATGGACCAAAAAAGCTACAGAATACAGTGAGCCCTCGCTATTCGCGCGGGGTGATGTTGAAGAGAGAAAGTCCGTCAGACATTGACACCCTTCTTGAAAGTGAATTTTCAGCAATTATCCATATTTGAAGATAATTGCTGAAAATGTGCAGACTGAGAACTACGCAGGCAATAGTTCTCAGAATCGTTTTGGAATGTGGCTAAAAACGTGCAGTTAGCTGGAGAGATTACACCTGAAAAATGCATCCACTTTAGGCCACTTTCAGAACGGCCCGTTGTTCCCCGTGAGCATGAGCATGTTCCCGCGAGATCGGCGGAGGAGAGAGGAGAGGAATTTTTTTGGATAATCTAAAATATAATGCCTCATAGTGGTCAGTGAGTGCCAGCACGTCATGTTGTGAGCGAGGCATGTTCATGACTTCACTTTCCAGGGTTGTACTAAACTGCAATTGCCTACAGATGCCACAACATGATGGAAACGAATGACTTTTGTTTGTTGAATCTGCTCCACTCACATCCACAGTTCCATGGCACAAAGATGCCACCAGATAGTGCCAAAGTAATGCTGGTGTGGCTTTTAGCAAATAATGAGCATATCTCTCCCCGCCCCCAAAAATTATGGACAGGCAAATTCATAAATTCCGAACCGCAAATATGCATGGGCTCACTGTAATTGCAATAATGGCTGCAATGGTTCAAGTCTACGGTGCGACAGGGTGCATTTTGAAAGAAGGTCTGATGCGTCGTGCGCGTTGGCAAGGATAGCGCATGATGAAGTTATTTTTTTTTTTTCAAAAAGCAAAACTCCCTCAGGGGAAATATGGCTTTTTTTAAGTAACTTTAAACGCGAGATTTCACGTCATATTTAATTTGTAAGTTATCTGCCGTTGATTTCCATTTGTGTTTGAGTTGTCCCATGTTCCTCCGTGTATGTTTACATGTTCGTAATGTGCTGTTGACACATCACCTCGACTTTTTTTTACCAAATTCAAGCAGTATTTCTTTAAAGAACAGTAAAGTACTGCATTGTTTGGCAGCCACTTGTTCTTTTTATTCACATTTAGCTGTGTTGCTCACATGCTTTAAAAAAAAAAAGGAAAAAAAAGCTGTCATATTTTTCTTTATACCAAAATAAATCCAGCTGTGTTGAACTCATCGTCTTGTTTGTTTTTATGATTTCAGTTTCCTTTGTTGTCGTTTATGTTCTTCCCCCTTATACCAGCCGTTTTGTCTTTTGTCATTTTTTTGTTATTGTGTCAGGGTCCTTCAAGCATAAACCAATTGGCAAATTAGGCTTTAAATTTGTTTTTGTTTTTTTTTAATGATTTACATAGTGAGTCTATTTTTAAGGTTAACAAAGACGCAGCTCAACCCAACTTAAAAATATATGTCATGGTTATGCCTTTTTCTTTCCTTTCAAAAATGTGTCAAAGTAAAATGGATTTTTTATTTTTTGCCTCATAAAATAACGAATTTGGAAATATTTATTTAAATGGTAAAATTAATGATTTTACATATACCTTTCGCATTTTCAATACGTTTTAGTAACGGTTAGGCCATTGTCAATAGTTTAACATTTAACGTATAACATTTACAATCTCATTGAAGTAATTGTATTTAAAGTAATGCAATTTAATCACATTTTATAACCTAAAGCCTTGTACATCGATCATTAAATATATTTGACATGGGTACTTATCCGTAGTACATTTTAAAAATAAGTGAGTATTCTAATGCACCTATTTTAATACTCGAATGTGACCCTCAGTTGCAAAAGTTTGCCAGTTTCTCTCTCCCTGCAGTCCAAAGAGCTGCAGATAAAGCGTCAGTTCCAGGACACGTGCAAGATCCAAACCCGCCAGTACAAGGCCCTGCGGAACCACCTTCTGGAGAACACGCCCAAATCGGACCACAAGGCCGTGCTCAAGCGCCTGAAGGATGAACAGACACGGAAGCTGGCCATCCTGGCCGAGCAGTACGACCACTCCATCAATGACATGCTGTCCACGCAGGCTGTGAGTCACGCAGCAACGGCTCGCTCACTACACCTAAGCAGGTTTCAGTCCCACTCCCGTAGTCATTCTCGCCGATATATATCAATATATACATTTATTTTTTTGCAGCGTCTTGTGTATCATCTGCCTCAGGTCGCCCTCAAGCATAAAATCCAAATGTCTGCTAATGACACTGAAATGAATTTCTTGAAGGTGGAATAATCCTGACAATTCCGGATGTTGTGGAGACTAATGAAACTTCCGAACACAATTTTCTTTGATCGATCCACTTTTGGAGGACAAGCTTGTGGCCGAGGGAAACCTGAAATGGTGTGCGCTAGTTTGCCTGCCTTCTTATAGGGCTGGTGACTTCAAGAATGAGTAGCTAATGTTTGTTTGAAATGAATATGTCCACTTACAGCCCAGAACCTCAAACTATTCAACTTCTTTTTGTCGTTCCAGGACCCAGACACCACACATTCAGGCTAAAACGTATCTTTATTGCTTTGCGCAACTCTATGCCACTAATGTTTATCTCAGGTCAGACAGTAAAGCCGTTTTTCTGTGTGCCTAGATAACTCTGACAAGCTTTTAATCGCTCATTGGAATCTTCAATATCCGGTTGTCCCGTGTTACGCCAACTCTGAACTCATTTCTCCCTGAAAGAAAGAACGCTCATAATATGTCGAACCTGGATAACTTGTAACACAGCAGAATGCATTTCCACAACGTGGCACTCTGACTTTTGCACTCCTCCTCACACCCGGCTTGTCGTCCTTTTGTCTTGCTCGTAGCTACGATTGGACGAGACGCAGGAGGCAGAGTACAAGGTGCTGCGTATGCAGCTGCAGCAGGAGCTAGAGCTGCTCAACGCCTACCAGAGCAAGATCAAGATCCACACGGACACGCAGCATGAGCGGGAGGTCAAGGACCTGGAGCAGAGGGTCTCCATCCGACGCGCGCTGCTGGAACAGAGGGTCAGATCTTTCATTTCTTCACCATGATGTCACATTGTCTAGCAGGTGCTAACACTGCGTTATTATTCCTACTCGTTTCACAGCATCATTGTGTGTTTTCGTGCCCTCAGATCGAGGAGGAGATGTTGTCCCTCCAGAACGAGCGTTCGGAGCGCATCCGCACCCTCCTGGAGCGTCAGGCCAGCGAGATTGAGTCGTTTGACTCCGAGAGTTTACGTCTGGGCTTCACCGGCATGTCCCTCGCGGGCCTCCCGGGCGACGCCTACTCCAAACAGGGTTACCCCAACGCGCCGCCCCCGCCCCCCCACTCTGCCAGCCACTGGAGCCACGGGGTGCACCCACAGGGCGCACCCCCGCCACAAGCATCACGACGCAGCCACAACAGCAGCAGCGGCGGCGGTGGAGGAGGAGAACGAGGGGAGCGAAGGAGCGACTCCTCGTCCTCGCACTTGGCAATGGCCCTGGCGATGGGGAGGAATGGGGGGAGGGAGGCGCACCACTCGTCTCATTCTTCCTCTTCTTCGTCGTCGTCCTCCTCTTCCTCCCACCACCAGCGCCACCATCTCCCCCAGCACTACCACCACCAGAGCACACCCCAATTGTACCGTGAGCGGGAGCGGGATAGGGACCGGGAACGGGAGAAAGAAAGGGACTGGCCTGGAGTGCGAGGACCCGGCGGAGATCTGGTCCACCCTCTGCCCTTGCCCTTTTCCCATCACCTGCCCTCGCGCTCCTCATCCCAGTCCCTCGCCATGCTACCTCCGCCACCCCCGGCCCCGCCGTCCATCTCTGGCCCATCCTCCTCCTCGTCTTCCTCCTCGTCCTCGCAGGGGGGGGTCTACGGGGGCATTCGCGCTGCCCCCAGCCTGATGGCCCTGAGAAACAGCCCCCAGCCTCTGAGGAGGACGGCGTCCGGCGGGGGACCCGGGGCGGCCACCGGCCCCGATGGCGTCCTAAGCCGAAGCACCTCCGTCACCTCGCACATCTCCAATGGCTCACACCTCTCCTACTCCTAGGCGAGGGGTTCTCAAACTTTCCAGGGACACCTTACAGGGGAGATTTTTTTTTTTCCCCAAGGACCCACTCATAATCCAAACGACAGTTAAACTATTTAAAAAAAAAAAAGACTAGTTCCAAAATAGAGAATATAGTTCACCCCTGCTATATACAGCTCTGGAAAAAGATGGCGGAAACACATTTTTTTTCTTTTAGGCAAGGCTGTGGCCTGACCATATGAGCCTCCTCCCTTCATGTCAACATTTCCTGGGCTCCAAATGGCGCCGAAGCAATATATCTATTTTTTTTTTTTACTAATGACTTTGGCATGAGCACAAAAACGGCATGTCGGTTAGTTTTTCTTTCGTCACTAAGAAAATAGGGTTATTTTCTCTCATTCTCAAAAGCAAGACTTTACTTCTGTATTACGACCATTTTAAAAGACACTCGAGATTACCGTGGTAATACAGTGGTGCCTTGACTTAAGTGTTGTTTAAATACAAGCCGCCCGTCGCTCAATAGATCTTTTTTTTTTTTAACCTTGCGAGCCAAATTTTAGTTTGGCAACTAGTGAAGAATTCTTCACATTTCAATTTTGAGGCTTCAAGCTCTTTCCCGGTTGAGATTTTCTGTCAAACGAAACATAAAATGAAGACAATTACATTCTGAATGTAAAACAACCGCATTCCTTTTCCTTAGAAATGATTGCTAGCATAATACGAACACACAATGCATCGATGGGCTTGCCACCTAGAATCCTTTAAGTAACAGATATTTACAGGCATGTGTTTGTTATCCTCTGCGAGAAACGACTTTTGAAATTCTTGGTTGCAAAAACCTTTCTTTGGTTAGATGTCTTTGTTCTGCTTCCTCCTGGTGGCCAAGAAGCAGAAGGTAGTGCTGGAATAGAATAAGTGCGTTTCAGTTCCTGTCTGCGGAACAATGTTTCGACTTACATATGTGTCATGGAACCAATCAAATTCATGAATCGAGGCACCACTGTACATCCCAAGTTACATTGACCTCATTATTTTTGGCCAAACCCCAGGGTTCCCCGAGCCCCAGTTTGAGAACAACCGTCCTAGCCCGATTTGGAGCAGAAGCTATTACAGGCTGCGTCTCGATGCCGATGTCGTCTTGCCACGAGGACATCGGTGGACACGGAAGGCAAAGCCAGGCCCCTTTTTGAGCTGCAACCTGCTCCCTTTATCCACTCAGGTTGGGAGAGAGGAATGTAACACACCACACAACAAGCAAAAGAGTGTTTTTTTAGCTGCAGATTCGGCTTGTCTTCTTCTATGATGTTCCACGTTGGAATGGAGAAACAGAGAAGACAGCGAGAAAGGACAAGAGCCACTTGGTTGTTGTTTTTGGTGTACGCGTTGTACTTGTACGTAGTGTCCAGATATATAAGCACCGCTAATTCAATCTCCGGGAACGAAGAAAACAAAAAAAGAGTTGCTAAAATAGGTCCACTTGAGGCTATTTAAAAGAAGAAAAAAAAATCCTGTTATTTAATGTTTTGTTCATTTTTTGTATTAAGTGTTTGGGGTTTAAAAAAAATGTTGCTTCGAACGTCACCAATGCCTTTAAGGGTTTCTTAAAGGGATGTCATGTCATCAAAATGTGTATCTGATGACCACAGCTGAATGTTTGTAAAGAGGAGAAAGTAGTGTACAAAGAAGCAAGATGATATGAATAACTCCGGCAGACGTGACGTATTGAGTATCTTAACCGCGTGTAGGCGTCACTTCAGTGCATGAGCTCGATGTGCAAAGACATTCGTAAGCATCGCCAAACCTATTTGCAATGTAACGTAGCCATCTCACCGCGCCACATTTTGGGATCTTTATTGTATATATTTGTGTGGAATATTATAAGCCGGTTTTATAGAGTTACGCAGATGCCGACAAGTAATTTTGATATACCGTAGTGTATTCAAATAAGTGTTGGATTCCAAGATTTCAGAGCAAACGACTTCAAATGCATTTTCAAGAGTTGTCAATATGACCCTTGGCGATCCTGATTGTAGCTGTCGTCGTATCATGTTCTCACTATTTCAACCTGCGATTGCAAAACTGTAAGAAAAAAAAATGTCAGGTATGGTTTGAGATATTAATGGTTATTAATAAGGGATTATTGATAATTGTTAATGATTTATGTTTGTGTGTTGAACAGTGAAGTCTTGTCATGTTGCCACCTTTTGAAAGACAGTTTAAGTGAAAAGACACCGCGGCACCCTGTTGCAGATACATTCACACCGTACGTTTTCTGTTTCATTTCAGGTAGCGTATGGACACACGGGAAGCTGTCGGAATTTGATAGCTTACCTAAGCTCGGCTCTGACTTGAGCATCGTAATCGTCCGCTTGAAGCCTTGAACAACCTCGAGTCGGCACAGGTAACGGTTCGCTCTCTGAAGAGTCCGCCAAATTGGACTCCTGCTGTAGGAGTGTGCTGATTTGCTGAGAGCAAACCGTGCAAAGGCCATGATGCTTCTCCAACTGTCGCGCCCCCCCCCCCCCCCAGGGGGGGGCAGGTTGCAGTTCGAGAAGCGCTGACGGCAGGTGAAGGGCATGCTTAGAAAAACTGCTCAGCTGTCAAATGCTGGTGGCCTCATGTCAGTTGGAATGACCTCTCTCTCTCGCGCTCTCTATCTATATATATATAAAATTTCAGGATGAACCTAAAATGCATTTTAACCTCTAAAAAGAAGAGTGAAGTCAATCAAGTGTTTGATCGATGATAATGTCCCCTTGTATTCCTTTCTGTGACTCTTCCAGTCTCTCTGTTGCGGTCTGCTGATGACACTCTTGTCAACCTATAAACTCAAGTGTTCACTTCCATGGAAATGTTGATCATTTGTTAGGTGTCTTGACCTTCATGATGAAGAGGGCTGTTTGATTGTCAATTGTGATTAAACCATCAAATGTATTGGTACAGGTTGACTTTAAAAGCTGACATTCTATGTTCATCCTGAAATTTCACCCCAAAACAGAATGAACTCGGACCTCCTCCGTTTTTTTTTTTTGGTAGTGTTTTAATTTCAGGGCCACACACAAAGCACACGAGGAGAACATTGAAAAGGAGGTCATGTGGACGGAAGAGGGCCAGGCCTCAACTGAGCCGCTGGCTCGGTCACTTCCGAGCCAGTGGCAGTGACGTGAGCAGCCTGTCAGCCCGCGCTTGTTATTGATAAGGTCTTGGTGACGCTGCTGATGCCCAAAAGGTTCTTTCCTCTGCTCACATGGCCTGTCCAAAACCCTCCCAGGAGGCCCAAAGGGACAAATCTGAATCGGACTGGAAAATCGAATTGCCGCCGCCGTCGTTGGTTTTGACTTTGCAACACCAGCTCAAGACAATTTAGTGTGTAATGCTTCATTTGGAGTCTTGGTGGATGCATGCGTAAAAGACTCCTAATTGAAACAAAGACTTCCAAACCTATCAACATACTCGTTTCTGTCCGGAGAAAAGTGTGGCGGTGTTAGTGGACTTGTTTGTGTCAACTTGGCAGAGGCAGAATGAAGTCACAAGACATGCAGGTTTTGTTTTGAATATTCCGGTCAAGCATTCTGGGCTCCGGGGTTAAATGTATGTTGGGAATGAAATGGGGCACTTTGAACAAAAAGATAATAAATTGCTATTTACACACGAACCCTTCTTAATTGGGTTTTTTATTCAGTTTTTAATTTGCATCGGGAAAAATGTCATGAAGATGCAATTGCGCTGGAGCGAAAATGTCATTGTGGGTTTTCATACCATTTTGCATTTCGTGATGCCTTTGCATGTGGTCAAGGAAACATGGTCAGCGATGTACTTTTCAGCAGTTGAAGCAATTGTGCAAACAAGCACACTTTGCGGGAGTTGCTGTCATGCTAACTCCACGAGGCCCTACCTCTTAAAGGCACATGCATGTACAGGACAAATTATATGGTACGCTAATTCTATGCAGATAATAGTTTCTTTCATAAACATTTAGTCGACTTCCACAGTTTGTAAATAAACCCGAGATTTTTGGGTGAAGGCGTCACATTCTCTTTTTAATATAGCAACGTACTGTCGACTACAGTATGTAAACATTTGAAATGTAATGAGGCCCTTTCTCTAGTCCTGCAATTTTTCACGCTTTGCAGTAACACGGGGTAAGTTGACATGAATTTTTTGGATCCGTTAACTGGTTAAAACAAAAATGTACATCAGATTTCCACCGACTGAGGTAGACCTGGTTTCTCATGATAAATGACTGTTCAGTTTGTCATAGGTCAAGTTTTTAAAATATTGTGGCTCGTCTTTCCAAATGTTAGGGGCGGCGGTGTTCAATGACAGAGACAGTGTATCTTACTAAACAGGATTTTATTAGTTTGCACAAATATAAAAAGGAGACGGAACAATAGACAGACAGCCTGACACACACAAGGATTTTTTTTTTATCTGACAGATCCTACACCATTGAACCAGATCTTTGTGTGGAGCAGGCCCAAGAAGAGAAACACAAGGAAACTGAATGCCTCTAATACTCTTCGCCTTCCTCGTCATCTGCCAGGCTGTCGGTGCCCACCTCTTCATAATCTTTTTCCAGGGCAGCCATGTCTTCTCTGGCTTCAGAGAACTCTCCCTCCTCCATGCCCTCACCCACATACCAGTGCACGAAAGCGCGCTTGGCATACATCAGGTCAAACTTGTGGTCCAGTCGGGCCCAGGCTTCGGCGATGGCCGTGGTGTTGCTCAGCATGCACACGGCCCTCTGCACCTTGGCCAGGTCTCCCCCGGGAACCACGGTGGGTGGCTGGTAGTTGATGCCCACCTTGAAGCCGGTGGGACACCAGTCCACAAACTGGATGGAGCGCTTGGTCTTGATGTTGCTGATGGCCGAGTTGACGTCCTTAGGCACCACGTCGCCGCGGTACAGCAGGCAGCAAGCCATGTACTTGCCGTGGCGGGGGTCGCACTTGACCATCTGGTTGGCCGGCTCAAAGCAGGCGTTGGTGATGTCAGCCACCGACAGTTGCTCATGGTAGGCTTTCTCTGCCGAGATGACGGGGGCGTAGGTGGCCAGGGGGAAGTGGATGCGCGGGTAGGGCACCAGGTTGGTCTGGAACTCTGTCAGGTCCACGTTGAGGGCGCCGTCAAAGCGCAACGAGGCAGTGATGGATGACACGATCTGCCCTATCAAGCGGTTGAGATTGGTGTAGGTGGGCCGCTCGATGTCCAGGTTTCGTCGGCAGATGTCATAGATGGCCTCGTTGTCCACCATGAAGGCACAGTCCGAGTGCTCCAGGGTGGTGTGGGTGGTCAGGATGGAGTTGTAGGGCTCCACCACAGCCGTCGAGACCTGGGGGGCGGGGTACACGGCAAACTCCAGCTTGGACTTCTTGCCGTAGTCCACAGATAGGCGCTCCATCAGCAGGGAGGTGAAGCCTGAGCCCGTACCGCCGCCGAAGGAGTGGAAAATGAGAAACCCCTGTAGTCCTGTGCACTGGTCAGCCTGCGGGAAAGGAGGAAATCAAAAATGTTTTTGAATCAAACAAAAATTGGTTTTGCATTCTACTGTAATGATCTATGCCTTTGCGTGTATGGCTTCAAAACGGCAGGGCCTGGTGGTGAATGAGGTGGGCGTCAGCCAACGACAGTGTAGATTTGGCGGGCCGTTAGGCGGTCTGCGTGTTAACTGCACTAGCGGTAGTTGTGTTGCGTGCAACTGTGGGGTGGGGAGTTACCAGTTTGCGAGTCCTATCAAGGACCAGGTCAATGATCTCTTTTCCAACTGTGTAGTGACCACGAGCATAGTTGTTGGCGGCATCCTCTTTCCCGGTGATCAACTGCTCGGGATGGAAGAGCTGGCGGTACGTCCCTGTGCGGATTTCATCTGTTGCAGACCACAAAGACAATGCATTTTCGATCATGGGCTTTGACATTTACAACTCAAAGTCAATTGGCAAAACTTCTGTGGGGATCTACACAATCTTCTCTGGTGAGTATGATGTAATTTCAAAGTCTTGTCATTAGATCAAAATGGATTCCTATATAGATATATAGAGATTGTTGAGATTTCACACAATATTTTTTCATGTCAGGTCAAACGAAGCATTTTTAGTACCGATGACTGTTGGCTCCAAATCTACGAACACTGCTCTGGGGACATGCTTGCCAGCTCCAGTCTCGCTGAAAAAGGTGTTAAAGGAGTCGTCCCCCCCTCCGATGGTCTTATCGCTGGGCATCTGGCCGTCAGGCTGGATGCCGTGCTCCAGGCAGTACAGTTCCCAGCAGGCGTTGCCCATCTGGGCACCTGCCTGGCCAACGTGCATGGAAATACACTCGCGCTGCGGGGAAAAAGTGGGTGAGACAAAGTCAATTTTTATTTTAAGTTAAACGGGGTCATATTAACACCCCAAGTTTACGTTTGGGATAAATTATATTTTTAGTTTTTAATGCAAGTTAAGTTTTTGTATACATCTAAGAAAAAAGATACTTTGATTGAGCTACACTCTGCCTGCTCTTAGTTTTATTAATCTATTACTACACCTATGATCTATTTGGGCTTTTGCAGTCACATGACTGTTGCAACCAATCCAATGTAACCAGGAGTGACTCCATTCAAACAATCAAATGGCACCAGGTAGTCACATGGCTGGACAGCATTTTCAAAGTGACTTTAATACAATGCAGCCAAGAACTCTGAACAAAATCATATTTAAGGTCACGTTTCTTCCTTCATTCAGATTTATTTTTATAGTTGGCGAAAAGTTGGGCAACATGATTTTGCACATTCTCAACTGTATTATCCTCCATATTTTTGTCCATTTGAGATTCATGCGGAGTTAAAAATAAATTCACAATTTACTCAGTATTTTGTCATTAAACACTTACTCGAGCAATTATTGATAACTGTACTTTGAACCGAGGTGATATTATTCTCAAGCAACAAAGTGAGAACATTTTTTTAGTCCAGCTGCCAGTGTGTTGCGTTCAAGGACAAACGGCCATCTGACGGCTTTCTATGAGGGTGAGGATTAACTTCCGGCTTCACCGCGCGGTAACACGAAGGCTTAAATGCGTAACGCGTTTATTAGTCGGCAAAGAAGCATTAAACACATTTTAAAACAAGAAGGTCCATTGTTTGGTTAAAACGACCCTTTCACCCTCCCCCCTGCACAATTGAACTACGCAGATTTTTTTTTTGTTTTATCGTAGCCCCGCACTCGCCCAACAAAAAAGCCACAATCATTTTTTTAGTTAGGCAGAACATTTTATCAGCTGAGCCGCACCGACTGTGGAATAATTATTTTAAATCTACATTAGCATTGCAAAATAATTCCGAAATACAATGGATTGCCACGTTTTCTTACGACGACACAGCTGCATCACCTGCTGCCCGTATTTGCAAATTGTTCCTCTAACACTTATAACGTTATTAATATTAGTTTCACACTAACCATATTTGTAGGTATTCTTCGTTGACGTAGCGTGGTCGGATGAAGAAGTTCAGTGAGCTGACGGGAAAAGGAGGCAAGGGTACTTATATAGTTTTGCGGGGGCGGGGCGAAGGGCGAAAGTTTGAATTTCTCGCGAGCGAACCGTTGTTTTTTTCCCCCCTGAAGAACCGTTGGTCATGGTGCGTTCAGTGTGGCTCCTGAATGTCTAAACTCGATTAAGGCATCACGTGTTGCTTGTTGGAGTGAGATGGTTAAACGAGTGCGTGGTTGTTTCTTTCATATTTGACGGTTCGAGTTTTATATTAGGGCTTCCGATTCAAAACTAGAAAATTATATATATATATATATATATATATATACGTAGATTTAATTACAGTTACTGTATTGCTATCCTGCAGGGGTGGGCAATCCCAGTCCCGGAGGGCCGCGCTATCCTGCATGTTTTCCAACACTCGTTGTTGCAACACACCTAATTCAAATGAACAGGTTAAATATCAGGCTTCTACAGAGCTTGCTGATGATCTGATCATTAGAATCCGTGTGTTGCAACAGGGAAAGATGGAAAACTTGCAGGATAGCAGCCCACCAGGACTGGGATCCCCCACCCCTGAAACAGAGTTCATATTTTGATTTTTTTAAGGGAAAAAAATGCCGATAAAATACACTCAACAAATCATTAGGTATGGTGATGTTATCTCATGTAAGATATGTACCCAAATGTAGCTGATAAAATAATGTTTTTTACTGACTTTACTAACCTCTACTAATTGTAATGAATGACTGATTATTGTGCAGTGGTAAAATTGCACTGCACTCCCACTCGGGTGTTTCTTTAGCCTGTGAGGGCAATTAAAAAGCAGGGATATCCCCAGTGGAATGCAACAAGCTGAAAACAACTAAATGGATAAACACGAGTGTCTGTGTTATCATTTTTCAGAGGTATTTATTAAACTGTCATGGTTTATCATTGTGGCTATGTTGTGCACTGGTACTTGTAAAATGGTGACCAACGTAATTTGCTGCACAGAAGCAGGGACGTGTTTTAAAAACAAAATGCAGTGACAATAATACTGAGACATGTGAATACCTCCTTTAAAGTTATTTACTGTTTTGGTTATATTGTGCACACTGATATAATCACACTGTGGTGCGTTGAGGTCCTTCTAAAATGGCGGTTAGAAGCGAAATTGAAATTTGAAATGCCTCTCATATCGACTTTTGGAGTGGAATTACAGAACACCTCATCAGATTGACCTCGAGTGTACCAAATGTTTTGTCGTTTATTCCACCGGTCAGCCTTCCTTCACGACTGTGTAAATGTGATGAACGTCTGAAAACAAATCGCTTTCTCGTTGCGGAGTTGGAAATGATCGAAATACGACATAGCTCCGCGCCTTTTCTCCTCCATTGTGCTATATCCGACTCTGACATCATTATTGCAGGCCGACGGGGAGGATCGTTGCGCACCGCCCTTTAAGACGGGTCCGAGGCTCGGTCGTTGAAGAAAAAAAAAGTCGTGGCCGCGGTGCTGGTTCCGAGACGAGGGGGGAAAACGTCTGAGTCCGACCCACGGTCCCATCCAGCTGGCACGGAGGCGAAAAACAAATCGTGAGTGTTTTTCGTGAGAGCCGACACGCCCGGGCAAAGAGGAAGGAAGGGTGGGGGAGGAGGACCGCGAGGACGGGGGAGGACCGACCGGACTCGAGGCCGCGAGAGACGGAAGTGAGAGAGGGGGGTTGCTCCGAAGAGGAAGCCCTATCCCTTTAAAAAGCGAGTGGGACATAGCGGTGCGAGGAAAGGAGAGGAGGGGGAGAAGAACGAGGAATTAAAAAAGAAAAAGAAGAAAGACACTGGGAGGGCGGAGGGAGAGCGGGCGATAAAAAAAGAAAGATGACATCCTCGCGGCTGAGCGGCCGAGGTGGGGCGACGGGCCGCGGCCCGGTGAGAGCGCCACTCGCCCGGGCCACGGCTTGACTCCAACAACGAGGCTTCGGCAAACATCCGAGTGGCCTAACGGACGGGCTCGGAAAACAGATTGACTCATTAAAACAAAGCATGATTTGACGGCTGACAGATACGTGTTTTATAACCCTTAATCGCTCTCCCGTGTTACAAAAAATATATCTCTATACTTTTACTTCACGTGTATGTACAGTAGTGTAAAATTACGACGTGAGGTTATGGAGGCAGTCGAATTGGTGTGATTCTTTCTTTCTTTTTTTTTTTTTTTTTTTTTTTTTTACCGTGGCCTGATTGTCGTTGAATTAATCCAAGTAAAAGATTCGCGTCAGAAGCGAGAGAGGGATCTTGGTGATTCCCGGCCTGCATGCGTTCACCGCTGCGCCCATTTGGTTTCTCTGCATCATGCCGCCCCCGTGACATCACCACTTTCTTTCTTCAGTTTTTTTTGTTTGTTTAAACCCACCGTTTTTTTTCTTTTTCAACGTTGGAGGTGACGGCTCAAGTATTTCTTTTACCCCCGGAGCCGACCTAAACCATGCGAAAGCTGCCCTCTTTGATCTCAACTAGCAGCTGATTTTATAATCTCCATCTCAGTGACACAAAATGGATGCTGCGTGGAGCAATTTCCTCTTCCAGGTAGGCTTGGTGAGACTCTTTTTTATTATTATTATTATTATTATTATTAATTTGACTTGCTCACACACCGCCAGTAGCAACTGCTGCTGTGGTGGCAAGTAATGTGCACGTTTGCTGATGATGGCTTCTTGTCTCTCCAGAATGCTCCCACCCAAAACCAAGTGGAGGGGAGCCTCCAATCGGAGCTCATGTCAGTCCATACAAGCTCCCCCCAAACCCCACCCACTGAGCACATAGCTCAGCCTCCCTCCACGGTGGACACCACAGCTCTCAAAGAGGAGCCCATGCCCATCGAGGTCCATGGAGCTGATCCACACCCTGCTGCTACTTCATTAGGTACACCAATGGATACAGTGACGGCATACATTTGTCAACTGTTACCTGTCTTCATCTGCATTTTGAAACTACCGCTGCTATGCTACAATTTAGGCACGGCTTCAGTATTTTTTCTCTTCCTGGGCTAAAGGGATCCCTGTCAATCAATCTTTAATTGACGGCTATGGGCATAGCCTAAACCAGAAACGAGTGAGCCACAACTTCCCCAGGGGATGTCACATTGTTTTGTGCATAAAGCCCATTGAAATGTTGGTCAGGGTGGTGGTAGTTTTTGGGTGGTTCATACCATAAACGATGAAAAAAAATTCTAACCAGCATCATGTATAGGAAAAGTTATTCATATTCTGTCTCTCTCTCCCCTCCCACCACATTTCCTTGATCCAGTGAAGCCCATGTCTCGGCCAGCCCGTGTGCCGCACATCTGTGCCATTTGCAACAAGCAGTTCAAGAACAACTACAACCTTCGGCGGCACCAGTCGGTCCACACAGGGGTACGCATGAAGGACAGGGCCAGAGAGCAGGCGGAGGGGCTGCAGGAGGGGGCCGCTGGCCAGGTGGTCACGGTGGTCCCGTCGGTGATGGCGGTTGGGGCTGGAGGGAGGGCGGAGAGGACCCCAGGAGTGCCCCTCACATTGCTGCACCTCTCCGCCCTTCCCCTTCTGGCTCCTCCCGGCGTGCTGGCGGGGGCCCAGCAGTCAGACCTGGGTTGTCAGGATGGAGAAGGGGTTGCCATGCCCACCGTGGTGGCTAGTGTTAACCCCCATGCTCCGCCTCCTGCTGCTGTCGTCATGGCCACAGGGGCGACAGTACAGGTGGGTCAGGGCCTTGTGCGGATGGCTGTTGTCAACCCCAACTTCAAGCATGTTGTTTCTTGAGCTGCTGCCGACAGGGATGGTTGAGTTTGGCTCTTGTGTGTCACCTGAAAACCTCCTCTGTGTTAGGGTTGACGGCTGTGGATTTTAAAAAGGCTATGCAGCCCTGTGCAAATACCAGTTTGTTTATGTGATTATTCAAGCAGGATGACAAATCTTTCCAAAGCTTTTCCATCATTTATGTGAACAAAAACCTTTAAAACTCAATTGCCCCCCCCAAAAAGTCTTTTCCTACCACATCTCAATAGTGTCACTTCACTTCCTCTTGTTTGATCATTTTTTTTTAATACCACAAAAAAAGCTGTCATTTGAACAGGGGTGTGTTGACTTTTTCTATCCACTGTACAAGTCTCCGTGAAGCAATGAGGCACCCCAAGCAACTCCATCCTCGTAGTCAGGTTTTAGAAACGTGCCAGAAGCCACCACCATGCTCCTCTGCATGTTCTCTGCAACCAAAAAGTAGTCATCTAACATTCAGACTGAATATTAACGCAACGGGGGGCTGTATGCTAAAATGACTATGAGCACACATGTTAATAATATGTTAATGTATGTGTTGATTGTAAAAAATGCAAGACACGGAATCCGCAACAGTTGAATGGCGACAACCTTTGCTGGTTTTTTGAAGACGTTTCATTCAAAAGGCTTCCTCAGTTTGGTATCTGGGTTTGAAAAGAGGTGTGAAAGAACTCAGACTTGAAGAAGCCTTTTGGATTAAAGGTAGCGTATGTTCAACACCGGAGATTCCAGTTGCCTCCATTCAACTTTTGCCTATTAATAGAAACGAAACGTGGGTGTTTTTGCATGATTCCAACTTTTTATTTATTTATTTTTCCCCTCTGAACTTTTATGGCACGTTTTTATCTGGCTGCCCACTTTCCCCCTCAGCGGCCCGCCAATCAAAACCCCACGCCGGTGAGAAAGAACCACGCATGCGAGACGTGCGGGAAAGCCTTCCGCGACGTTTACCACCTCAACCGCCACCGCCTGTCCCACTCGGACGAGAAGCCCTTCTCCTGTCCCATCTGCCAGCAGCGCTTCAAGAGGAAGGACCGGATGAGTCACCATGTGCGCTCCCACCAGGGCGGCGTGGAGAAGCCTTACATCTGCCCCCACTGCAGCAAGGCCTTCTCAAGGTGATACTCTTGAATAACGTCTCAAACTGTGGCCGACGAGCTTTAAAATACTGCGTCGTTTCATCAACAACTCATCAGTATTGTGATAGTTTTGGGGTTTGTCTTAGCAGTCAATTTTTATGTATTTATTTTTAATATCATTCCTTTTATTAGTTTTCATTTTTCAAAAAGGCTTCATTTTAGTTATGTGTTTGTTTTTCAGCTGCCTTTTTCTGTACGGCCGTACGGTCACACTGAAATAAATACATTTAAAATATGTTTACAAACGTAAAATGTAGTTTCAGTTAGTATATGTACATGTATATAATTTTTTTTTTGAAATGGTCTTGTTCTTATGTTATTTCATGATCAAAAATGTTTAGCAATTTTAGTAATTTCTTTAGTTTTCATGAACCCTAATAATAACTAGGAGTGTCTTGTAGAAGTTTATTTTCAGACTCCTCAGACGAGTTTTTTCAACAGTCAAATGTGTCCCATTGGAAGTCAAAAGAGTTTCACCTTTCTTTCTCCGCGTTCTCCAGGCCCGACCATCTCAACAGTCACGTGCGACAGGTGCACTCCTCAGAGCGGCCCTTCAAATGCCCGGTACGTCCATGTTGACTCATCGATGTATATTGTGTTCACTTGGCAGCTGTACACTGCCCCTGTTAACAGATGACAACAGGTTAAGGTTGTGTTGCTATTTAAAACCACAGAAGATATGGCCCTCTTACCATCCGGCCGTGCAGGTCTGGACTGGATTTAGTTCTTTAGTCTGGCGTTTCATTGCTGCACTCCATTAATCAGATCATCCATGTGACCCTCTCTTTCCTTTTTACTATTTTACTTACCTTACTTTCTGTCAATTTATTACTGTATATGTTTTTATGTTCAACAAACAAACAAACAAACAAACAAACCCGAGCTGTTCGATGCCACTGATTGGTTAAGATGGAGTTCATTTGTCTATGTAGAACAGTGGTTGTGATAGGTTTAACACTTACTAAAATCAACATTACACATCCGTCTACAATTGATTTTTTTTTTTTCTCTCTCTCTCTCCGACCCAGACATGCGAGTCCAGCTTTGCCACGAAGGACCGTTTGCGTGCGCACATGATTCGCCACGAGGAAAAGGTCCCGTGCCACATCTGTGGCAAGCTCCTGTCGGCCGCCTACATCACAGATCACATGAGGGTGCACAACCAGTCACAGCACCACGTCTGCCATCTGTGCAACCGCAGTAAGTCCACGTTAGCGAAATGACTTTGATACTCTTGCCATAGTGTGCTGAAGGTGATTTCCGACTCTTTGGCCATCAGGCTTCACCACACTGACCTACCTTCGCGTCCACGCCCAGAAGCACCACGGCCAGGAATGGAAGGACAGCCCAGGAGGCTTTGGTGGCACGGCGTCCGGCGGCGTGCTCGTCTGCCATCTCTGCGGCGTCCACTGCAAGACTCCCACCCAGCTCCAGGGCCACATGGGCACCCACAGCAGCAGCCAGGGCGCCCAGAGCACCGCCACCTCGAACGTGGCCGCCACAAGCTCCATTTCCCTCAGCAACATGGTGACGGCGCCCACCGTGTACGTCACGGGCGGCACGGTGGTGGACCTCCTGGTCACGGACTGCTCGAGCATTGCGGCGCCGCAGTCGCAGAGTTAGCGATAGCCAGGTCAGCAGCAACAGCAATAACCTCGGTCCTTGAAATCAAAAGAGGGCAAGGTAAGAGAAGAAGATGCGTCGATGCTAATCAGTTTACAGTTGCTGGTCAAAGTTGGAGGGTCACAACCGCGTTACATTTCGACACATTTGCATTTCAACAAGCTTGGATACGTCATCCTCATAATCTGAAACGGTGGCGGGTCGTGCATTTTGGTAGCTGGGCCTTCAGCAGGGAGGTAATACCACCACAATTGCTCTGCGATGTTAAAAATGATCGATGCGATACAAAATGCAATAAAACCGCAATCAATACTTATCAAATAACACGATGATCTAAAAAAAAATGAAATGAAATAAAATAATCACCAGAGATGCTGATTATTACATGTATTCATGTGTGTGACTACAGTCGCTGGATTAACTTTCTCCGACCAAACAGTCAGAGGACAGAAAAATACTGACATTATCGAGGCCCCCCGAGGCAAATTTGAAATCTAGTTAGTTAAAAAAAAAAAACAGTCCCATCGTTGTTAAACCAGTTACACGAGGCAGCACTACTGCTTCTAACGGCTCTGGGCGAATTCGATTTACATGGTAACACACAGAGGCTAAAATCTGATTGGACAAAAAAACAATCTAACATCCACACACTGCCTTGAAGCAATGCAGCCCAGGTCAACACTAAAAATGAGAAGAATAGACTTGAGAAGAAATGCACACTATTTCATGGAGAGAATGCTAATGCTGTTAATGTAGGTCAGTGCTTTTGTTGCATTTAAGACAGCAGAGAAGGCCTTGCTGCCCCACCACTGATCCAGGATGCTCGTATCCAACTAAACTGATGACAACTGTGCTCTTCTGGGTGTCTGTTGTAATTAGAAGTCTCTCTCTCTCTCTCTCTCTCTCTGTTTAACTCACACCAGCGCTGATCTTAACCTATCTTTTTTTTTTTTTTGCAGCTCACTGACTAAAAATATTTAGTGCTTGTGTTAAGAATGAGAAATTGCGCTCTCAAAAAAAAAAAAAAAACTAAATGAGAAGGGAAGTTGTTTGGGTGTGGACAAGGCAGGGCGTCTTTAGCATGTTATCTTGTTTGTTCACTGACTTTTAATACGAGTTGTATGAATTTTATACAAAGTGGTTACCTTTAGTAATTAGCGGTTTCTAGATCAGGATGTGGATATGGCATGGTAGCAAGTACTTCTTGATAAAAGGTACAGAGGTCGCCAAGGAGGTTTAAGCACCTTGAAGGCCCTTTCACACTGCACTTAGCACTACAAAGAACGCAGTTAACGAGCCCATTCATTGTGTAAGTGCTGCCTTATGGAGACTGGCAACCACAATGAGTAGATTTTTTTTTTTTCTTTTCCATTGACCGTGCACTCTGACGACATGGGTTGATTTCAGAATGCAAATAGCAAGAAATTTTGGTGCAGTTGAACAGTGGAAAGGAAGGAGAAAGCGGTGTCCCGGTGGCTCTGGGACACGAGGCAGATGACGCGCTGAAAAAGAAACTGCTCCCTGTGCCGCTTGAAGTAAACCTCGAGACGTTCTTCATTGAGCTGTAGCTCACAGGTGAGCCTAAACTCCCCCAGATCCTGGACCCTTATCCATCTTTTAGCTGCTATTTGTCACTCCTCTGTCTCCTCCTTTTATGTAAAGCCTACTGAACATCCAAACGAGTGGCTAAAGGCACCGGGCTACTTCTCTGTCGTGGGCCAATGAAGTGCAGTGTGTAAGTGCCTTATTGCTGTCCAGTGGAACTTCCAAAGGTTAATGCCCCCTGAAGTGGGACCATTTGTGAAGTTCAGCCGAAATCCAAGTCAAACAAAACTTATCGTGACGTTTGTGACTGTCAAGAAATGGTGTCTCAATGTTGGGAATGTTGACAGTCATGAAATTTATTTCTCACCGGGAAACATGTTTTGAAACAAGAACAACTTGGAAGTCAACTAACATTGGAGGTTCCACTGTCATTGTTTGGTTTGTCGAGATGAAAATAGGCTTGGAATGAGTTTTCTTGCGCTAAAGTTTTCTTCTCTGGATCGCGCCGAGGGGGGGAAAAGATGAATCGACACTTCTGCTTTTAACACTGCGACTCTTGCACCTGGACGATTTAAACAAACAATAAAACAACTTTTGCATGAAAGCAATCCCAACTCGGCTTATCAGCACAAAATGAACTTTGGGGTTGTTTCACTAAGGTTTTAAACGATAATACCAGATGTTTTTTTGTTTAGTTCTTTTTTTTTTTTTAACTTTTTTGAAAAATTGATTTTGTTGGCCATTTGTTTGATTGTAACCGTTATTGCCATAGTTTTTTTCCCCGTTTGTTTTGTCTACCTGCCTCTCCAATGAGTAAACGTAAGACATTAGATTTAGTGTGTATAGCACCTAACATATTTATCTTTATCATGTGACATGGCTCTCACTGGTTGCATCTATTTTTAATGTGCTATAAAAAGGACTTGAAATGAGTGCCACAGCAAGTTGACAAACTTTTTCAGTTTTGAGCGAATATTTCCTTGACCTTTAAAGCGACGTTTCTTTACTGTAGTGTTTAAAATGTGTTCTTCCTTCCTCCCTGGTGAGAAAACTTGTCATTCACTATACAATAATATTACTTTACTTCCATTTACACTAAGAGAAAAAAAAATACCTCTCGAAATCTGTGCGGCTCTTGTGATAAATCTGAATGCCTTATCGTACTCAACTGCATTTGAATTATTTTATGATGATCAGATCTTAGTCATGGGATTCATTGAGAATATTAATGGGATGTATTTATATTTATATTTTTATATTTCTCAACAGTATGCATGTCCAAAAGGTTCATGCGGAAAAACAAACAAAAAATGCTGATTACCGTCATAAACATTAGGACATTTTGTAGCTGAGCTAGAGATCATGTTATTATTTTGTAATTTGGACAATTTCAAGTAAAATGGGTAAACATGCGTTGTGTTGTGTTTTCATCTCTTCATCCATTTACTTTTTTTTTTTTTTTTTGAAAACACCAAATGCATTTGTGGGGTTGGTTATAAAGAAGATAATTAGTACTTTTTAAAAATAGTGGTGAATGAAATAAAAATGGGCTGCAGCAGAAAGGACACTTTTTATCCAAGGCAAAAGGCCAGGTGCTAAAGCATCACTTGGGGCCTTTGTGTGCACGTGCCTGTGCCTTAAGTACATTAATGAATCTGTACTTTTTAAAACTTTTACTGAAGAACGGGAGTTTAATCCGTTCTTTTACCAAAAGTTCAAGCGTATAACAACTTTTGCCACCTGTGCAATTGAGAACTCCCCCTGTGCGGCTCGAAGAGATCATGTTATTATTTTGTAATTTGGACAATTTCAAGTAAAATGGGTAAACATGCGTTGTGTTGTGTTTTCATCTCTTCATCCATTTACTTTTTTTTTTTTTTTTTTTGAAAACACCAAATGCATTTGTGGGGTTGGTTATAAAGAAGATAATTAGTACTTTTTAAAAATAGTGGTGAATGAAATAAAAATGGGCTGCAGCAGAAAGGACACTTTTTATCCAAGGCAAAAGGACAGGTGCTCAAGCATCACTTGGGGCCTTTGTGTGCACGTGCCTGTGCCTTAAGTACATTAATGAATCTGTACTTTTTAAAACTTTTACTGAAGAACGGGAGTTTAATCCGTTCTTTTACCAAAAGTTCAAGCGTATAACAACTTTTGCCACCTGTGCAATTGAGAACTCCCCCTGTGCGGCTCGATGCGAGGTTGTTTTTCATGAGGGCTGGTGGCGCTAACTGAGGATGCGTGGCGAGAGAATGCAGTCGGGGAGACGGCGAGTGTTGCAAGACCTCGAAGCTGCTGCTAGCAAGTAGCTGGCGCAGCAGTCCGCTGACTGTTGAGTCAACAGCAGCAGGAGAGCGAGACGCGCGCGCGCGTACGCGCACACACACAGATGCAATGACACGGGCACCGGACCGCTCCTTCGACGACTGACATTCGCCGCCCAAAGCTTTTCCTCGTGCTTTCGCTGAGACGTTAGTACAAGTCTTATCGCCGAATGCGCCCATACTTGTGCCAGCAAGCGAGCTTGCTGCTGATTTCGATCTTAACTTGCTGCAAGCTAGCGATTAGCTGGCTGGCTGCTAAGCCTGCAGGCGTCTAAGTGGCCGCACAAAACATGTGGATCGGCGCGGCGGAGACCCCCGGGACCACGCTAGCTTTACTGCGCGGGACGCGAGTTTCAAGCGGCCGCTGACTGGAAGCCACCAAAGCCTCTGTGTAAATATTAGTTTTATTATGTCTAGTCCACCCCCCAGCCCCCGAGACATGTGCACTGAACTCTTGTCTGCTAGCCTCGACTGGCTAGCTCGGTGGCGGCTCGTGCTAACTGCTCCAAACAAATAACATATAATCTTAAGTTTCGCCACCGTGTGTAACAAAACAGGTTTTCCACACTTTTAACATGTTAGCCGCCTCGTATTTGGCGTTGCGCTCTAATTCCGCAAGAAAAAAAATGCCTAGAAGGTAAAAAGCTTTTTTAGCCGGCGCGGACTTAGAGGTTGACATTGGCTAACGTTAGCTAGCGTGTTTAGCATCATTGTTCAGACACAATTGCTTAGATGACCTGCGCCGCTGCATTGTTTCCAATTTTTTATTTTCGTCAAGGCACTCATTTTACATTGAAAAAAAAAGAATCTTACGGCACCCAACTGAACAAAAAATGTCACCAAAAACTGCTGTCTTCTTCCTCTAATAGCAGAGCATTTTATTGTTGTACCTGTCACTATACGTCGCTGCCCGAGATAGGTGAACAAAAATATATCATTTTAAAATGAATAATCATTTCCACACCAATTAATTGAAATTGGATGATCTCAGCATGTTATTGTTCATATCGTATGTGGTAACCGGAAAGAATTGTAGTGCAATTATGCTGGTCATAATTATATGTAAAATTTGGTGACAAATGTAAAGAACTGTAGGCAGCGATTATATGATTATATAATGATCATTTTTTTATGTACCAAGTGTATGATGCTTAGTAGGCATAATGTGTCTCATGCTATTACACAGTCAAACTTGATTGTAGTAATATGTTGCTTAGATACCAAACCTGACATAATGCTGCCATGAATATCAGTACATTTTTCAGTGATGCAATACGCACGTTGCTAATGGATTTCAACTTTTTAATGAGTCAGATGTTCAGTGGAAGTGAAACCACTTGGAACCTGTGTCTAAATAAATGGAAAAATGGGCTTTACTGTCACCATAAAGAGTGCAGCATGGATGACGTCACACTACTTTCTGTTTGTCTTAGAATTGATTTTAGGATTTTGCTGATGCCTTTTTAAGCGTGCGTTGGTCTGGCTCCAAGCTACAAAAACAAGTTGCCACTGTCAGTTGCACAAAAGCACATCTTAACTTCATCACCTGGCAATTATTTTCCGCACTCCTACTCCTGACTTGTTCTTATTGTTTGACTGAAGGGGATCAATACAGGTTGATTGCTTTAACTTTTTGACCTCTTGCAGGGAGGAGAAAGAGCAACAAATCTCCAGGACCCGATTGCCCGCCCAACTTTTTGCCTCAGCCTGACGGCCAGGGACCATGCTGACCATCCTCGCTGCTGGCTCTGTGTTCTTTCCGGGCCTCTTCCTTCTATCCAAGCAGTGCCTCAAGTCCATCCCGGCGCTGCGATGGAGCGAAGGAGACGCCGTCATCGTGTCGGCCAGGTAAGACTCTCTGCGCCACGGACAAATTTTCTTTTCAACCATGTTAAGCTAAAACAGTGGTCCCCAGCGTGTGTGTCATGTGAGATCATCAGATGTGGCGCAGGAAAGAGTCTAATTTCACTTCATTGGTTCAAAAGTCTTTGCTCATCTCATCTTTGACAGTGACCTAAAGTGAATCGCAACAATAAAATGCACTTCGTTGACATTGTAGAAGATACATACTTAACGCATTGAGCCATTTTTTCGAAAATATGGGCCTTATGTTAGATTTAGAAATACTGCGCTAAAAGCTACTTGTTGGTCAGTTGCGACTGTAAATCAGCATTTGTTTTCATGCCAGTTGTCTCCATTCTAGGTTGGTGTCGTCGGTTCAGGCGGTCATGGCTTCCTCAGCTGGCTACATTATCGCTTCTTCCTGTGATGACATCATCGAGGACCAGTGAGTCAACAAATAAGAACGTCCTCAGTCCATCTGCAGTAGTTGGTGCTGTTTACATGCTATTGCTGAGCAAGTAATCAAATTCCAATTGACACCACAGTATAGTGGAGCAGTTGCTTATTATGATTATTATTGATTATTAGTACTTTTTTTTTTTTTTAAAGATATGGGCCGCAAGCCATATTATTTCTTTTTCCCCTCAGGCACTGGCTGACCAGCACATACATCATGTTTGCCGTCCCCTACTTCGTGTATGATATCTACGCCATGTTCATGTGCTACTGGTACAAGCTGAGGGTCAAGGGGCACGAGGAGGCCTCGGCCGCCCCCCAGCACATGGCCTCCGCGCTGACCAGCTACCTGCGCCGCGAGTTCCTCATGGTGCTGCACCACGTCGTCATGGTTACCGTCTGCTTCCCCGTTTCTGTGGTAACTGCTGTTTCTCCTGTTTGCGCTAAATGCTCAATTGCATGATGTGTGATGTATCGATGGGGGAAGGGGTCACTTGTGTTGTTTACATGCGTCCAATTCTCTTTAGATGTGCCAACATGTATGCGTAATAGTTCTGCTGTACAGAAGATATTTGATAACAGCCATCAAACGCGACAGATCTTCACATTTGTCAGCGAGAGTTACGGCTTGTTGACTCCAGCCTAAGGCGAATTTACAGCGCAGCATAATTATATGCGATGCGCTCCGCAAGCCGCCTACAGCGGAGCACAAGGTGTAATTGTTTTCTGGTCCAGTGATTAGTTTCTGTCCATCTCTTCCTCCTCTAGTTTGTGCGTCAAGGAAAGGGAGACTACTTCCAGGGCATCATGTTCATGGCCGAGCTCAGCACTCCGTCAGTCTGCTTAGGAAAAATTCTCATTCAGGTAGGTGGACACACACGAAGTCCACAATGTTGGTGCGCATGGCACCCGTGCCGCTTTGTAGCCACGTCTCCAGCATCAAGTATAGTACACGGAGTACAAATCTGCCATTAAAAAAAAAAAAGAGAGAGAGAAAAATAATTCTCAAAATAATGACCTCCACTCTAATGAATGGCAGGTGTGCACCAGCACCAAGGTTAGATGCATCCAAATTTACCACTGCATAGCGTTCAACAAGTTTTATTGCCCCCCGCACCTCCAAAAAACAAACACAATTTTGCTGCCTGCCTTTTTAGGTCCTAGTTTGAGGTGTACTATTGAGAAATGAGGTTGCCCGAGCTCCCAATGCTCTGCGTCCTGTATTTTGCATAGATATGGAACAGAATGGAGAGTCCGCATCACCTTTTGAATTACACCATTAATTTTGGAGTCGCTTCCGTGCTGGAGGCTCGCATATTGGACCTTTTTCACGGAGAGCAAGGAGAACTGAATTTGATGGAAACGTGCCTTCCTTCATGAAGGTCCTTTGCTTTCTCCACTTTCATTTGTCCACCTTCTCTTCATCTCATTGTGCAGGGCGTGCTACCTTCTCTGCTCATTCCAAGCATGCAATCAGTTTTGCACCACTTGCACATGGCTCCCGTTGACTGTCTCTTAACACGAGCAGCCCGCTCAGTCGTCACTTAGTAACGCCGTTTGCTTAAATCAACACTGCACGCGCAGATAGACTGTCATGGCCTCTCTCCCTCTGCGCTCGGGCCAGTCATCTGTCTGTGCGCTAGTTTGATAAGTGGGGCGGCCCCCTTGCACCTTTTGCCTTCAATGTGCTGTTGTGGATGGAGAGGGGAGGGAGGAGTGATAAAGCTTATGTTTCCCTCGCTTCGTTATCTGGCCGAAGCAGGTCGCCTCCGTCACCGCTGCTCTCCATTCAAAGTCCATTTCACATCCACGTCCCGTTCACAAACATAACAATAGCACAATTAACCCTTACGTACACTCTTCCATGATTCCAGCATACGGCTCATGTCGGACCTTTCGAGAGAGTTCGTGCATGAGTTCTGAAGCTAATGTCAACACTTCAAATTGGTTCTAAATTTGACTTGACGAGGGGACAGTCCAATAGTATCAGTACCATTTATTTAGCATTTTGCTGTCAATTTGACTGTCGGAGTATGACAGGGTTTCAAAAAAAAAAAACCCCCAAAGCTGAACAAAGACCACTCACACCAAACTGCTTGCTTCTCTCTCTCTCTTTCTGTTTCTTTCTGCTCTCCGTTGTTTCCCGCTCTCAGTACAAACAGCAACACACACTCCTGCACAAAGTGAACGGGGCTCTTATGCTGATCACTTTTTTCATCTGTCGGGTCCTCCTCTTCCCTTACCTCTACTACGTCTATGGAAGGTACGTCTTTTCTTCCCGCCTGTCTTCTCTTAACCCTCGGCTCGGGAGCCCGCAAGTCTCACCTGTGCGCCGGGAGCTGACGTCCGCGTTTAATCACGCAATCCCCTCGTGTCTTCCTTTTTCTGTCGGGGTGCAGGTACGCGTCCATTCCGTTCCACTTGGTCCCCCTGTCGGTGCCGTGGCATTGTAATCTTGGGGCCGCCCTGCTCATGGCCCCGCAGCTCTATTGGTTCTCGCTCATTTGTCGAGGCGCCCTACGACTCTTCACGGGCTCCTCACGCTCCCAGAGACGGCGCTCTACCGGCGCGGCGGCGCCCCAGCCGGCCAACGGCTACCGAGCACCCTCCACGGAGCCTGACTTGGCCACCCACTGAGAGGAGTCGGGAGGGGTGGTGGGTGGGGGGGGAGCGAATGTACCAATTTCAAGGGATGGGGAAATAAGTAGCAACACGGCGAAAGGGTAAAAAGCTCCAGACGATGTCCTCAAGTAGCACTGGAGTCTTTGCAGGCAGCACGCAACGACCGCTTCCGTGCCAGGGGTTTTGCTTGGCGGGCCTTCAAGCACTTCAGCTTCTCACTTTGTAGGAATAACAAAAGAGCGCCGACGCACTCTGACGATGTCATCGGGCACCGTGATGGGAAGGAGCACGCGCTGACACGGGAGGATTTGCCTCGATGTCGGGCAAGCATAGGCGACCATTTCCTTCATTGTAGATCACACCGTGACTCTCGGGAAGAGCGGGTCCGTAGGAATGTATTATATTGTATGTTACAACATTTGCTGTAGACGGACGGCCGAATTCAATTATAGCAACCAAGAAGACAAAAAAAAAAAATATCCTGACTTAAGGAAATTTCGGCTCGTTAGTGTTTCTCTGTACTCCTCTATGTAGTCACTGTCACTCTAACATGTAAGAAGCAACCCGCAAACCGGAAGACAATTTCATAAGACTGTATTCTGCTGCCTTATTCCCTTTTTCCACAACGGATTTGCTTTTGACTTGATTTCCATCCTCAGAGGAGAAAAATGTGACAGGTGTACATAGCGCCCGTTTCCATGTCAGTATTAGGGCGGTGTTGCGTTTCTGTTTGTTTGTTTTTTTTAACGTGTCAAATTTTTCATTCAGTGTTTATCGCTGTCACCTCTCCTCAGTTGGTTTTCATGATGGGAACCCCCCCCCCCGATGCGCAGCTAAGTGTAGATACGACTTCATTCCATGTCCCGCTAATGCAATGTTAGGGAGGCTCATGCACACTTTGAAAGGATGGATGTTTTTGTTGGGTCACGAAAAACTAATTATGTTGGACTTTATTATTATTATTTTTTTTTTTGGTAGTGTTGTTAAGGGCATTATAAAGGGAATTACAGTGTTGCAGTTTGAAGGGAAAACAGTATTGTGGGAATTCCCCTTGGAATTTACCTGCAGACTATGAGCCAAAAGCAAAGAAAGCCCGGTGTTAAACAGAAAAAAAAAACATTTCTTGCGGTCAGTATTTTATTTATAATTTTTTTTTAGACCTTTCACATTGTGCAAATTGCGCCACAGGTTCTGTGAACCTTTGTTAAACAGACCGCCTTGCTTCCCCCCGCCCCGCATAATACGTTTGTTTTCAAGCTGCAGCTGCACTCTTCTGGAAGTGGGTCAAAAAATATCCAAATATATATTAAAAAAAAAAAAAAAATTTTGAAGACAGAAGCGTGTGCCAAAACATCTGGACTACTTACCAGGCATGTCCTACTCAGAGCAACCATCGACCCCGCCGCCAGCCCGCCCGACCCGAACGTACTGTATATTCCACCAAATGCTTGTTATTTATTTGTATCTATCTATTTATTTATTTATTTATTGGGTTTGTGGTTCTGAATGCATATTTATGCATCCATATTATACTCGATGCTTCTGAGCCTTATGTGAAGGCTGTAATGTTACTCCAACTTATCTGAAATATACTTCTCTGTCCTGACGGTGTCTCACGTGATTCTTGATGGCTGCAATTATTTATTCTTCAGAAAAATTGACAGGATGCGACTGGTGAGTTGAAATGACGCTCACGGTGTTGACACGCCTGTTCAAATGCAAGTTTTTGTGATATTAAAAAAAACAAAAACATTTCCAGCATGTACAATTTTCTCGGAAAATGTAGATCTTCAATAGGGAAAGTAAAAAAAAAA